GTATTAGCCAGAGGTCCCTTTACTACGGTTCAGAGCCACGGACCTTCAGTAACAGTAATAAATCACATCAATAGTACATTCATGTAGTTGTAAACAGCATGAAAATATATTAAGTAATCCAAAGTATTCAGAATACGTTACTTTCATTGAGTAACAGAATACGTTACAGAATACATTTTGGGGCATGTATTCTGTATTCTGTAATGGAAAACATTTTAAAACTAACCTTCCAACACTGCATGTTGTAGAACATTCACCCCAAAGTATAATATGAATATATACAAAATGCGGTACTTTAATTTAAATAATTAATATACACAGTTGTGACTAATCTATTTAAGACCACACTCTTTTTGTAGCACAATTACAGATCTACCACGACCTACAAAACCGAGAACAGATGCAGTTATAGGTTTTTATATTTATTGCCTTTACTCTTGTATGTACTTACCGGGTGAAACTGCTGATCGTCCTCAGCGGTTTTAAATGTTCCTTTGCAGATCCAAACTGAATCAGGTCACTCAAAAGTACCTTTTATTAACAGAATTGGGAGGTGTTGCCCTGTACAAGTATGACAGCAATGTAAAGGCTATATCTGATAGAGTTAGAGCATTCTCTGCATTGTTTATGCTCTGTTGCATCTTAGCATAAAGAATTTTTCTTTCAGTTGAAATCTATCATAAAGGCTCATCCACCGAGTGAGTCTTGATAAACTAAAACATACAGGACATGTAAAGGTCTTATCTAAGACTCCAATCACTGATGACTGTTTCCTGTTTGATGAGTGTCAGCTCGAGTCATGTTGCCACTCTGGCTTACAGCTAGCAAATATTTACTAAAATATTATTGAGAGTGCTTCACTTGCTACCCAAGGCAATGAGCAAACCATGATTTTTAGAACATTTCTAAAAATGTTCTTTTTCTAAAACATCTCAAATGTGGTTAATGTCCTGTATTTTTTTTTGTTTTCAACTGAATCTACACTAGTGTGTCAAAACAGCAACCATTTAATTTGGTTTATATTTACAGAAAATCGATAAAGTTTTAGGATTTTAGGGAGCAAATACTTATGAAGGTCAAATTTGTCTCAGAACACTAGAATAGAACACAACATTGGTTTATAATGGAGCACTGTAACAACAAAAAAAATTTCCCCCAGGGATCAAAAAAGTATTCTGGTTCTGATTTTGGATGAACTGAATTGATACAAAACCTGATGAATGTAAAGCAAAGCTGAATCAGTCGGTCAGTCTGTGAGGGAAGGGGCTTCACTTCCCGTTCAGCAGGAACTGCAGAGGATCTACAAAATAATCTGCAGTGACCTCTTCTCCACCAGTGCTTCAGAAGTATCCAGTTTGCAGCCAAACACACACACAGAGCCAGACCTCAGAACCAGCTATCATTATAAAAACATGCCTTAACCTGGCATGCCACCCGCATCTGGGTACCATGATTTAACTGTGATAAGATACTACAGAAATTTGAACTGGTTTTGGTTTCTAAATTGATACAGCTCTGCCATTTAATTCAGCGAACCATTCTTTCAACCAAATGATACTTTGTAAATCTATGTGTATCATCATTTGATTTAGTTCATACTTTTACTACCACAACTGTTTCCTAGTTAAAAATAATTTGACCCATAGGAGTTGGAAAGTCCTGCTAAAATTATTTTGTATTAAATAATAAATAAACGGCCAAAACTAATTCACAGTTAATGCACATTATATTACTTGGATTTATGGGTGTAATATACACTATAATATTAAAAGCATTGGTGTCATATCGTTTAATCTTTGAATTTAGGTGTTTTTCATTATGTTGCCATGTGTGTATGGAATTAAGCACTTCAAGCATCAAGCAGTCTTCACAAACATTGTTGAATAGTAGTCTAGGGTTAAGGAATAGGGTTGTTCTAAAGACCTCACTGAATTTGAGCATCAACAGTTTAGTTTATGTGAAATGTATGCCCTCCTAGATATCCCACAATCAGTTATAAGTGGTATTATAAATGGTAAAGTGGAAGCAACTACAGTAACTCAGCCACAAAGTAGCAGATCAGATAAAGTAGCCTCTTGTGAAATTAACAGCAGTTGTTATGTAGGTATAATATTTAGGTGGCCCAGTACGTTTGTCTTAATAGTGTTTCCTCTTCAGTTCCATTTTTCTTTTATGTCATGTTGTTGAGAGTGTACAAAAACTTTTGGATTATACGAATTGACCCGAATTCATTTATGATATTTTATACCACTCTTGTTTATTGGGCGTGGATTGGAGAACATCTGAGTATATCAGTATCTGTGGTAGTCATTAAATGAGCAGTGTTTGAAGTTACAGGCCTACTTAGGACTTGTTGCAGTAATTAAAAGGTTCACAAGATGAAAATGTTATTGTCAAAGTTCAACACTGGAACTAAAAACCCAAACTGAAAACAGGTCAGCTGAAAAAACCTTTATCAGGAGAGTTTGAAAGGAGTGCTCTGTTCAGCTATTACAGCAATGAAATGGCTATGGTTGACTGAGAAACAACATTACTGACATATTGCTCATTACTGATGTCCTGTGAGTGACATTGTGATATTATCATGCAGTCAGTCAACAAAACTAATTATAAATGAATTCATTTGAGCTTACATTTTGTTGCAAATGATGTTTTTGGAAACATGTAACCACTTGACTACTTATTTGCGATATTTGTCAGGACAATATATAACCATGTAACCCAAATGTCTATTAATTTGTTGTTACCATTGGTTTTATTTTTAGTGCGTTCATGCTTTTAAACTTGTGAAGTACTCCTTTCTTCCTTTAATCACCCAGGACTAATATCCTATCACTAATATCCTGAATATCTCAGCTGAGTCTTTCAGGTATTAGCCTTGAGATAAAATTTATAATGAATGTGTTGACTACTTCCTTGTGAGTCACTAAGTCCTATCTCTTATTTAATGCCAGCACTGAACAAAGTTGCCCTTTTGCTACTAGAGAAGTAATATTATCAGATCACTAAACATTTGTCTTTCATCTCTGTGAGTTGTCAGACCAGCGGACAAATTGTAAAAATGAAACTCAGTCTTATCACATTCCTTTATGCACATCGGCGTAACACCCACAAACAGTCCACCATATGTACTGAATGCCTTGACTTTAAAAATCAAAACCATGAGATGCTTTACAAGCAGTTTGCCATTATAACACAAAGTGGGCAATTGAGCTCATTATATTAAAGCTCATAGACT